GGCCTCACAGAGCTCAAAATAAAATAGCCCCAAGACAACATGTAGTCCATGCTCATTCCATGTTATATTACCATGCCTAGCTCACCGCGCCCACTGTACGGTAAAAGTCTAATTTCGTCTACTGAATGTGATTTCTCCCAATAGGATTCGTTTCAAGTTATATCTTTGTAATTCATACGAAAGTTTTGTAAAAGGTATTGGGGTGTTATTGTGTATTTGTGGGGTTTTTAGAAACGCTAGCTGGTAGTCTATTCTATGTGGATTTTGCGGATTTGCCAAGATGCCTAACAAAACTAGGTTTTCTACAATCAACCAGTATCCAGGTCACACTGCAGGCAAAAAATGTGGTTTTGTTGAGGGAAGCAGTAGGAACCAAGTCCTTTACTCAGATGACCTGAAGAAAATAGGGTGGTTCGAGTGATTCAAGACATGACAGAAAGGACGGTATATAGGCGGCTTTCCGCTGTTTAAACTGTTTAAACGGTGCTGTTATCTGCCTGCACTACTTGATAGCAAGTACTTAATCGTATTTTGTGCAGGATTTGGTCACGGTGCATTTATGAGCGGCTGAAAGTGATATACACAGCACAACCAACAACCCATTGCTACGCACCACTAGGCACCTCAACAACGCACTGATGACGTCACCTCGACTGGTGATGAAACGTTTGTAATCAAATTGCCCAGCTCAGCGATCAGTCCAACGGCTAAAAACCAACAAAAAGAAGTCACTTTGTGCTGAACGTTTACTTTTTAAATGCATGGTGTTTCTCTTGAATTGAGCTGACCCTTACGGATAATCAGAGCATACCCGTTATGTTTTCCTACGTCAGACACGTGCGTTGTAATACGAGCTTTAAGGAAGACAGCTGGTCATTGATTTGTTCAAAGCGATGGGTTGGTCGCTGCGCCTTACTACGCTCCAGTTAACGCACTGATGATGTCACTTCGATTAGTGATGAAGCGTTTGAAATCGAATTTCCCAGCTTAAAGAAAAAGCCAATGACCATCTACGCTACCTGGGCTAGCAGCATTTTTCTCTATAGAATACCAGTACACATATCCCTACTGTCGCTGCGTAGTTGAATTCTAGCTACCGGTCTACTTGGAAGAATGGAATCACTTGATCGATTTTCGAAAGAGCTTACCAGCACTAAATGAAAAAGTATTAACTACTAACAAACATGTCAAACAATAAATCGTAGTGACAGGACAAACGCAATGTAACAAAACGTACATTGGGGGGTGATACCGGCGACCTGGAATCGGCTATCGCAGGAAATGCACGGAATTGTACGAAAGTGAGTGGAACGTTACAAAGTCACCAGCAAAGAACGTTCTAGGTAGTGAAGAGTTTCAGAATGAATTTTAACACTGAAACAAATAGCACTTGTTACCTCTATGTATGCAGGTATGGCTGTTTCATTGTGCCGTACTCAGTGAGGTTTTGGTACTATGTGTATTGCGTGAATCGTAACAACTTCATATGCCTGTGGAAGGAGTTCTGTAGCAGTTCCAATACTTACTAGGAACACGTCTGTGGCACTACTATGACGCTTGGACCGAACCATTTGATTGAAAACTCATCATGAAGCAGTAAGGTCTACGAAATGAGTGCTCACATATTTCATCCCCTTGATCAACAAACCTTTGCATGAATCCTTACTAGGTTGTCGGAAACGCAGCAACTTAATGGAACTATCTTTTGCACAAATAACCAGCGAATTATTCACGCCCACACCTCATTCAAGACTAATATCAACACATGAATTAACTGTTCTGCCAGAACCCTAAATTTAAAAAATGCCGATTCCCCGGAACTAAGTGCTTGATATTAGAGATATCATCAGGTTGAGTGGCTTGCGGCAACTCTTGTACGCTGACGAAAACAGACTAACATGTGATGCTGCTGGAGATGCATGAGAATATATCTGCGTCATCAGGCCTGGTAAACGCATTTTCGTTGGAATCTATGCCCAGACAACTGCCTGTCTCAATGTTTATCAAAACATGTGAGCGAAAGGTGCACAGTTGTTGAGTTTGTTTCAGTTAATCGTACGAGTATGAGCCGACGGAGCACAACTTACACACTATCTTGTTGATTCATGCATTTTCTATATACGCTTAATCCTTAAGTGACGCGGGCTTTGAGTGCTGGCCTCAAGTAGCCATCTTTGTCACTGTATTCATCGATTGTTGAAGCCATGATTGAAAATGTGTACCTCAAAGACAGCGTGTTAGAAAGACGATTGATTTAGCTGCATTTCCTGTGCCTGCGACAAGCGGAATAATAGGACCTAAGACACGACAAAAGTGTTTTCTTTCGGAAGCTCCAAATCAATGAAATGATCACAATCAAACGCCAACGTTAACTTCTGTTGTATCAGAGCCACGTGGGCACCAGAGATGCGAGACATCGTCAATGTAAAAAAGGGTAGGAGAACTTTTTTGATTTATGATACCCTTACAGTCAAATTAATATGTTTCTTATTTAGCTATATATAATGGATGCACACAAAAGTAACACAGTACTTACGAGTTTGCGGAACTTCTAAACTCTGCTGAAGTACGGGTAAAAAAGACAAAAAGTCAATGTTAGTTGCCACTGAAAAAAGTAGTACTGCGGGATGGACGAAGATTATATCTGATACGCTTCTTCTCTAGAGGCAGCTAATAAGAAGAAATCTGAAATAAGATGGACAAAAGACAGGTGCTAGAAACTGTGTTGTCTAAAAGCGCCTCTTAAGCAATCGACCAGCAGATAGGACCAATAAGTTTGTTTGTTGGGGACGGTGATAGTAGGGTCAAAGCCATTATGTGCTTTTTCTCGTAGCAGAGAGTGGTCCACCTCGCTTGACTCCCATTTTCTTTGGCTTATGTGGGTTCCAGTAGGACTAGTCATGCGACTGCCCAGTCCGGTTCCCTAGCAGCTTTTCATGTTCGTGTGCTCGTGACCGTTGAGAGATCGAGATCACCAGTAGCCTGTCAGTGAAGATGTTATTAAGCAGTGGACGATTGCTGAAATCAGCTGTTGGTTAGCGAACCACTTATGGAAGCTACATCACTTCAAAAGAACGTTTTCGAGGCGTATGGGCTTGTCAGAGATTCACATTCAGCCTCTAGCTCGAGTTGCACTTTTATAAACTGTTCCGGATTCCCAGGTCAATAATGGATAACGCAGCCACCCAATAAATGTAGGTAGGCTCAAGCCGATTGCTTACCGCTGCATAACACTATTCGCCAGAAGTGCTCACAACGCCGTGAAAACTGTCGGGGACTTAACATGGTTTCCAAACTTTGTGCAGTTGACGCGTTTATAAATCTAGCTATCCAGAAAAATTCTGGCCTTCATCTAAACTTCCATTCGCCTTTTCTGGCTCCATGTATTGGACTTTTGGTTTTGTGGGTTAGGGTGCATCTAGCATGTTTCTTTGTGAAAAAATCAGTTTTTTCACTGTCTATGCTGTAAACTTTAGGTAGCTTTTTTAGTGCATGTGTTTATGTCTCTCGACTCCCGAGAAGGATAGTCCCGTAAATAAAATGAAGCGATCTAGAGAGCTCAGTTAACACATTTTTTCTCTATCCTATCTTCCTGTTGACAACTCTGTGCCCAATTTTAAGCCAAGATATTATGTAAACTTTAAAGGAATCTGGGTTCTCATTCATCTAACCTTTTCAGGTTTCCTCAAGCTGAGCATCATCCGCGCGATATTACTGAATGCCCTGCTGTTTTTTCCAGTTATTTAACATCAAAGCACCCATAGCTAGCATAAGGTTTTGACGTCGAATAAACGAAAATATGGCCTTGCAATACAATGACTGGCCATAAATGATCCCCAGAAAGAGACTTATCTGTAAAATAGTGCACTTTGATTCTGTCCGGAGAGGTTTCACTTATAAGTGTTACGTTTTGTAATATCGCCGGTCGGCTTAGAACAAGGACCCCCCAGGTGTCCTCAAGACTCATATTTCCCTCTCATCAAGGATTGGGATGAAAAATATCTATGTTCGATACCAAGCCCGCACCACAGCCAAACAGGCTCTTCATCTTCATCATGATCACGTGACTTTCATATGAAAGCATACTGACGCTATGATTTCATCCCTGTAAAGGGAGTGTGAACGGTCGGGAGAAACGTTATATTGGTGGTTTATACGCGTTATCGAAAAACTAGATGAGTCGAACAAAAATTGTCTTTTTCGAGGTTTATCCCGTTAAACTTGACCAGATCTCCGCAAAATTTGAAAAAACAGCTCGCCGTGCTCTACATTCAAAAACGCAAGTCTGCATTCACAGTGTCGCATATCATCATTCATAATTTGTCACACATCTCCGACAGCAACGTGAATTACTTCCAGAACTCGATGATACACCGTATCCCGTGGAACTGCCGCATTCGGAAGACACTAATCTTTGCAAAACACTTGCGGTTGATTTATCGGGTGCCAACGCAACATTTAAGAGCCTCTTATGATGACACCGCTCTTTCCCCTACATAAGACAGCTGCTTCAGATGAAGCGTCCGTGGTACAGCCATTTTGTTTTTCAGAGTAAACAAAAGTACGGCATACTTGTCGGTCTTTTTTCCGATCATACCTCCGTGTGGAAAAAAATCTAACAAATTGGTTTTGGGCTTAAACACGGAAGAGAATATCTAACTTGGGTGCGCTTCCCGACCGTTTCTGAATTTCACTGGACAGAGTGAACAGGTGACCAGTAAGTCCAGACAATAAACAGTGACTAGTAGTGTAACTAAGCATCTCTAGATTAAAATAATCCTCAAGTGACTGCCAAAAGTCAGAAGTCAGTTAGCTTACATGAAGTCTTACCCACAGGAGTTACAATCTAAACGGATTCGCTTCAGGTGCAGTAGTCTCCAAAATGAACTTCCTCAACTAAGGTACCTTCAGTGAAACGTTTCGGGATTTAGTAGGAGACTGATATCTTAGAGGGGCTACCCTCAGCTCTCTCACGAAGATCACCTGCTGTTTCTCTCAGATATTCCTTTCCCTCCCAAAACCAATCAGAACACAAAAATTGTTTCCACTCCTTCCGGTACCAACTGCGCATTAACTGAAATAATTTTCCGCCCGGGACACTTAGGGCTCAAGCAACTTATGCCCATTTATTCATGCTACTTTATTTGAGGCCTCATCATCATCACTGGGGCCTCAAAAGTTGACTCAGACTTCAGTAGACGAAAGCAGTAATCGCTTTTGAATAGTGATGGGTACTGAGAATCGGACTAACCGTTAGACACTACGTGCAACAGCTTTATTCAAAACACACAAATACGTTCTACTCAGATGGAAGTTTTTTTTTGGTTTTCAGTGTTTCAGTCATATCGATTTCCAGGGTTCTACAATAAAACACCAAATTCTGATGTGGTGGTCTCTCTCAACGGAGCCAAACATTGGGATGAACCACTTTTGTTTAGGAACCCGACCTGAATCTTCAGAAAGAACTGTATTCTGGATACACGGTTCGGTTGTTGGGGTTTTTCTCGTCATAGTTGAAGAAGCCTAAAGATCTTCAACTTTGATATCTGGCAAGACAAGTTGATAAAATGGTATCCAGATCAGCTGTGAGTACCTAATAATTCTATTCCTTAATTCAAACCCATTTTGCGTCCGTTCGGGCTCGACATAATCCATCTGCCCAGACTACATGTGTTGCGCTTTCAGGCGTGTAATATAACTGTAACTTTCGGTTGAGTCGTTGTTCGTTAGCATTCCACAGCTGCTGTCGGTGAGTTCTCAGCTACCACCGCTATCGGAGATAAGCTAAGTTCATCGACTTTGCCTTTTATCGTTCCTCCTTTGAAGACATTTGGTTTAAGCAGTAAAGAGTATTAAAAAGGTTATGATAGATAGAAATGATAACCAGAGGGCTGAAATATCGAAACCTGTCCATTTGGACCAATACGTTTCGCAGCTTGCGCAAACGATCTCCAGAAAGTGAAACCGAACCGCCACATTCCAGAGGTTCAGCTGGATTCGGGTGTTTCCCGTCAAAACCAAATTACTGTGCTGATCGGTCGCCATTCAAGTATTTCAAAGAACGTCCGTATCCGCTACATGTTATCAGTTCTCTTAGTTCGGCACTAGTCAGCTGACTAGGGTTTCGGTAAGGATGAGTGTTTTTCACTTGCAAGCATACTTATACACCACACTATAGAAAACGCCATTTTTAGACGCGGCCTTTATGACGCCGCTGATACATTCTGAACACAAACGTACGGAATAGCAATGAATGTATAACGTTGCAAGCACTTTTACACGTGATTACGTTACAAGTTAACGTGAACACGTATGCAACGCAAGCTACAGTACTCGAGAATTCGATCTAGCCAAGATTCTTTGCGCCTCCCCTTTCCCAGTATGGTGAAATTTTCTAATTTTGGAAACAAATACAGTATTGCGTTGATTTTTGCTTAAGAAAAAGTGATCTCACCAATAGGACGATCCTTACTTTGGATGATTATAAAGGGAGGGTTACTCTGCTGAATTCTCAGCTTCAATAGTCTGTTGTTTGATTATGTAAAAATTCAGATATATGTGGCTAGAATTTTTAATACGGCAGGTGGAAGGGTTTTCCTTCCTAAACGTGATTAGTTCTAACTCAGAACAATGTGGTCCTTTATTGTGAGGCGTCACTATTTAGAAAGACGTTTGGAATGTGCCAAGTGTGCCTCACCGCACGCCGTGGGCAGCTAAATTAATGGGAGGGGAACTTGCTTGACTAGTCTGAAATTCCCATTCTGGTTGAATGCAGATAAGGATTGCCGACTGTACGCCAACACGAGATGACCTCATTTACAAACCATATGACGGAGATTCCACCAAAGTTCACAACGCAGCCAAACTGTATTTAATCATTTCATCATTTTTCAAGCCAGAAATGGTTTTCAAGAAGAAAAGTTGTTTCTTTGGAGCGTTTTTACAGAGCTTGGTATTAGCCGTTCATTGTATAGTGCCAACTGGCCGCTCTGACAGTGTTAGATGCACGTCAAGGAGATTGATATATAAGATAATTCTTAGCAATAGACCATCCACTATCTTCTAATTTCTTCAGCGTTCCAAAAATGTTTCTCTAGTTGACAAAAATTGGCTTTCAGGTCATGTGGGGATCAACTCATCCAAAAAATTCAACAGACCGTCCTGGTATGATGTATATGATGTATGTGTATATCCTAATGCCTCAGCTGACTTGAACCCACCAGGATCATAAGTGAATCTCCAACTACTATGTCAGCTTAATCTTGTGATGATCTAAATGGTGGTTCTAATATTATTTAGAATAGATGTGAAAGAATTCTGTTTTGTTTGACGAACGTTTTAGTCGTTAAGTTGGTGCGGTCGGGGGCTCTTCCGCAACATGGTCTCTACTGGAATGGGTTTTCTGTTAAATTCCGTTTCACACAGTCTGCCTTCCAGGACGCTGTATTTTCTGAAGGTAACCCAATAAAATCGAAACCATACAGTTCATCGTCAGAATATGATCTCGTCTGAAGACTTCGCACACTCATTTGTATGCCTTATGAGCAACCTGCGCGACCAACACAAGATCAAATTTGTAAAAACAACTGCCAAATGTCACAAAACGCCTTGCACAAATACAGCATTTTATTTTTATATGATTGCACTCACTGGTTCCCCCACTTCGTCGAATTTGAAGCCTGTTTAGGGGCAGCAATAAATTTTACACCCTGATTAGACGCAGAGTATTATGCAACTACAGGCATTGTGTAGCAAGAACAGAGGAATCCTAATCAGATGCACGGCAGAGTCGTAATTTTTGACGTTTGATTCAAGCGACATAATAAAGCCATAGACAGTGGGCATAGACAAACTTCCCTTCACTAGGAAGGTATGTTCGACGGTTCCCAACGTAGTGATAACTTTAAAGGATATAATATAGCTTATACCATAGACTACATTTTATTCTCCAAATTACTCAAAATAAAAGAGACCAATTTTTCCATCATAACCGTTAAAACTCGTTATATAACAAACACTATGAAGACAGCAACGACTGTATACGTTTGAGCGACATTTAAGCGTAAGTCAAAAATGATTTTACTGTAATTCGTGAAACGGCTTGCGCTTTTTCAGTGTTACAATAAAATAATCATGGTTTTCTCCAAATAGCCGAAATTCTGGTGCGCCATGACATTCAAACTTGAGAACATTTTAGTGGCATTCAATACCATCGCGATTTTAAACGATGTACAAAAATGCGCTAACCAAATGATATGGTATAAAAATAGTTCAGGTCTTATGGCTCGATTATCCAAATGAAATGGTCACTTATAAATGTCCTCCCAAAATATACGTTGCTTCTCACGGTCACTGCAAGACTGGTACTGGCTTCGTTCCTAAAGAAAAAATTTAATAAATCCTTTAAAATCTAGCGTTGCAAAAATCCATTTAGCTGAAGTTCGGACACATTGTGGCACTCTCCCATCATATGCTCCGGAAGAAATCCCTTACTGAGTATAGACTGCGATACTGCAGAGAATTCTCAAGAGCCACTGAGTTGTTCATAAGGCGTGAAGAAAGGTTGCATAGGCAGCTACTCCAAGATGCATGTCAACCGGCGTCAAGGACGACGAAATGAGTGAACTGTAATGAGGTGAGAAATCAAGGTGTTATGTCAAAAGCTAGATATACAGAACTGCGCACTCAAGTGAACTAAACAGAGGCAGTTTTATTCAGAAAGGCACGTGCGCTGACATGTGTTCTCTGACCAGGGGAACGGAATAAAGCAACTGTGACATTTCTCTTACCGGTGTTAAATTAGTTCCGGAAGGCCTGCTCGGACTGTGTTGGAAGACGAATAAGGCGCTATCACGACATTCACTGTAAGAACTTATGGTGAACCACAAATTAGTTTGTAGCTCGGTTTATTTTATAAATATTTTTGCGACGTGTTTAGCCATCCACACTACTTGTCTTCGGGGAAGTAAAAGTAGAATAGTGTTCACATCATTTGGCAGTGTTTGGGTTACCCACTTGCTCTGAGATGTCAAACAACTACCTAAAAGACTAACGTACGTCAACTGACGCAAACTGCCGCTTGCTATTTGATGAGAAATTGAATATACACTGCGTTCATTCATCATTTCAGTTGAATATTATCGGGTGAACTTCCAGCAGGGAATTCAACCAACTGTAGTGCTATTTTTGTGCACTTATAAAACGAACGAGAATGAGCCGAACTAACCAGCAACATTTGTCAGTGTATGTGCGGTCTGCATAGACGAGTTTCTCTACCTAGACACATCATCATCATCCAGCTGTAGCACATTTTCGGTTGTTAATTGCTATGCTACCCGAAGGAAGAATGAGGGCTGGCATCCTGCCAAGAGAACCTGCGAAACGTCTCCACCAGCCGGAGTACACCGTCTTCAAAGAGTTGAGAACACCTATTCTGACGTCCTTCAGCAAGCCTGACCTAATCGCTGTTCGAAAGCGCCCAGTAACTGTGATAGATGTCGGCATATTCTTGGATGGGCCCAAAGTGTGGAATGAGAAGGAGCAGAAGTATGGTGCTGATGAATATTCCATCGCCATAATCTTGGTAGTATTTGCCATTGGTTGTGACGTCGACGTTTTGGTTCAACAACCGATGGTCATCTCTTATCGAGGAATCTGCTTTCCTTAGTCCGCCAGGGCAGTTATTGGACTGGGATTTCCTAAGGTCACAGTCAGTGACTCGTGTTTGTTTGCCATTGTGGGCTGTTTGCGTACTTACAACACTTTTATGCGTGGTACATGGTGTTGAGTGTACATTCTTGCCGTTTACCTTCAAACCAGACTGAGTATGAGCCTGATGTGCGAGTCTCGACTGTGCTTGAAGAGCTTGACGCGCCTTGCATACCTTCAAACCAGACTGAGTATGAGCCTGATGTGCGAGTCTCGACTGTGCTTGAAGAGCTTGACTGCGCCTTGAAGAGCATTCAGCATTGTTTGTCCTTTCTTGGGTTGTTGGTCTCTACACGAAAATTCTTACATGCATTGAGATTCATCTTATCTGAGTGAAAATGTTGGTGGCATGACTTCGAAGGAGACATTACTCTCTTTTGCCTCATATACTTTTGTAACCATTTCAAATTCGTCGCTTGTATTCACGTTGTATATTTGTGATTGTACTCTTCAGAAATAGACTATAATAGAAGTAAGTAGCTGTAGTGTGTAGTAAATGCTATTGTAAGTAGACAAATTTGACATTACTCTTATTCCAAAATCATCTAATCCATTCAAAAGTATCATGCAACACGTTCACGCCACTAAAAACACCTATTTCTTCCGATGCGGGTGACTCTTCTGTAAGGCATAAACAATTTCGTTATATCCACACTTTATAAGGGCCTGAATACGAAGTAAAAATATATCGTATGAGTCCTGTTTTCTACTGAATTCACACAGTTAAACATCCTTCCTCGGACCTTGTCCTTGCAGGGAGGCACGTGAAAATAGCAGTTGAAAGAATCTGAGTAAGAATCGGCCTTGATGTGTTCACGAAGAAAATGAACAGAGAGAAATGATGAATTTCTCATCTTTGTGACAAGTACGGGGATTCTCCTCTCTATTTTTTCAGGTCTGTTCTATTTGGAAGGGTAAATTTGTTGTTGCTTCGTTAATGACCTCAAAAGATGCTTACTTCAAGCACTGTCTCCGTTAACTTATTGGGAGATGTTCCGTTGAAATCTAGGTTCCAATTGTATTCACCAACGCTGTCGACCACACAAACTGGGACGCTGTGTGTCTGTTTTTCATGTTGACATTTTAGCATACCAGAACATTTCACTTATCCACCTCTTGCAACAGTTGAACAATTGAGTAGAACGCGAGTTCGCCTTGATTACATGATTAGAATTAAACGGCAGCCACAAAAGTAAACCGAGGGTTAGTGACCCAAGAGGCCACTGGTTGAAAATTTGAGCAAACTTCCTGTTGAGTAGACATCAGCAGAATCAGCGAGTTTGCATTAGTGGAGTGTGTTTTATTCTACTAAGGCAGATTATAACGTCGTGGTGTTTTCTGCGAAATAATAATTGATTGTGTGTGTTTACGATCGATGCAGAATTCACATCCATGTCATTCCCAGACATATATCATTCCATCCTAACCAAGTTGTTTTAACTAATCCGCGTCAGAAATGATGCACTGGACGCGAGATTTGCTCTCGTTTGAGGTCATCGGTAGTGCATCTACCTGGCTGTGACTAGAATAAATGCCCTGGTGCTCCGCAGGTGAGACTTTGTGGCACTCTTACCTCCCCCTTTCAGTCAGATACCTGAACTAACACAGCTGAAGAAGCAAGCCCGTTCACCTTTGGACTATGTCATCGCTTTCCTCAAGGCCCCAAAGGACGATAAAGTAACTTCTTTGGTTCTGTCGTTCGAAAAGCTGCCTTATGTAACAATTGTGAAACATCCAAGCTACATGCAGTGAGAAAAACCAGGGATCGGAGAAAACTGGCTGTCGCAACGTCGCTTCACAGAAGATAGGCTTCACAGATACGCAACACCTGATGAAGTTTCGTGAAATGCTTTGACGCTTCTGAGTGACTGCATTCGGTGCTCAAAAGCGAAACCACCAACTTGACAAAATAGCTTAAAACCAATTTATTGTATTCCTCTGACATCACAAACCCTCAAGAATCGCACCCTCCAAGCATTTTGTAATTATACACCACACAATGTGACAACTCTTACTGCGACTCACGTGACTTGCGTAGGTGGCGGTTGTCCATGTTACTACCTTCAACTCCGGGGTTCACAGCAGTGGCCGGTTTTTCCGCAAGATACTGGGCAAACCAGTCGCCAGTTTTGCACAAAACCCGTCTGAACCGGAGAAAATATACGGAAGTATTAGACCAAAGAAGGCAACCTCTAACTTATCGACCAGTGAACATGCGGAATGCCCACTTAGCAACTTGGCTACAACAGACGTTAAATACTTGATTCCCTTCATGACTGTCCGACTTCTGCACAAGGTGTTCAGACCATCTAGATTACGGCGAAACATCTGCGTATACTTTAGGTTAAAAAGAACACCTATTTGGAGTAACGCATCACGCAGTCCCTCGCTTTGGCCTGATACAGTTCAACCAGAATAGAATTACCATGTCAGTAAGTTACGTATATGTGCCAGATACGTCCAGCAATCATCACAAGTTTTGTTTCACCCCAATGGTCAATAGTATGAAAGTCTGCTATCAAAATGTTGCTTAGTACGTTTCAGACTCATGTTTATCCTGTCACTACAATGCTGTTGTGCTCCTAGAACATTACCTGCGAGTTACTTCGCTCATGCTCTACTAGAAAGCACTCAGTTCAACTTCAACCATCCAGGTATTCCAAAACTGCATTTGCCATCACAACGGACTTACTTATTCGTCTGTTCTTCATATTATCAGCAGCTGATAAGCGGTACGGAGCTCCATGTTGTCTGCATGATATGCCCCTGTTCGGATGGAATTTAAGTGGAGACTCGATCCCGCTAGTGATGTCAATTCGTGCCAAAACCCGGCGACACAGCACAACTCTCTCGAAATCGCTGAGAACTAGCATAAATCCACCTCTCACGAGTTATTAGTGGGAATCGAGCCCGGTGTTAACTTAGCTGAACACTACATTAACTGATGCAACGGTGCAGATGGTTAATGATGCCAGTCACCCTTCAGTATGTTATCTATGTGTCACTTGTAGAGATAACATCTTGAATAACGGCAGCCAAAATGCGAACACAAATGACATCAGCAAAAGGAATGACCTATTGGAGATTAGACTGGGCTCATTAGAGAACCAACTAAAACATATCAAAGAGCTGTTACAACCACGTGAGTCTGGGCCGGTGGGGGGAGTGGAGCATGTTGGATTAACAAAGAACTCCATACCTCTGTTACAAACTGATGTAGTAACGTCAAAAAAGGCCATTGAATCCAAAACTATGTCGCTCAGTAATAACCGGAAAGCATCATCGGGACTTAGTGTTATTTGCACTAATGTCACAGAACCTTGCGATACGTTATTACAAGCGAGGCACAAGCGCGAACTGGAGGAGTGGTTCAAACTTTGCGCTAAAATGAAGTTAAAACCTATCGAACCAGTTTCCCTAACACGATTAAGTCGACCACCGAATTCGCCACATAACGGTAAGCCAAGACTTCTCAGAGTTACCGTTAATACCGAGAAAGACCTGGAGAGCATTCTATTATCAGCATTCCAACTTAGGGGGGAAGCTGACAATGGCGAAAGGATTTTCGCTGATATACCGTGGTCGGAAAGATCGCGCAAAAATACACCTCATCCTACAAACTCAACCAACAAACATACAAATGACCGCAGTTTGATCATCTTGGGTGTTCCGGAACCCAACAAAACGTCAGATAAAATAGCGCAAAACACACACGACTACATGCAGTGGCAATTTCTATGCAGTACACTTGAAATTGAAAACGTGGCCGTGGTTGATACTTATCGGATTCCGAAATCACCAAAATATTTGGGTACCGGCCCGAGGCCCCTGAAACTCACACTACTTCGTGGTGATATGCTAAACTTAATCCAAACACAATGGCAACGTCACAGGAACTTACTCCCTAGGGAGTTAAGGATAAGCACATCCATGCGGAACAATATACCCACAGAAGAGACCAAGGTTAATGAAGATGAAGCCGTAGGTGAAACTTCAAAAAACGACCAGCTGCCGACTCTGCCAGGGTCGGCACAATTATAACCGCCCAACCTGCACATTATCTTGCGTACTGCCCAACACTGCTGTCAATAAACACCATTAAATGTTTATACACGAACGCGCAATGCTTGACTAACAAGATTCCAGAATTATCTGAATTGTGTGAAAAGCATTTGCCAAACTTGATTGCTATCAGCGAGACTTGGTTCCAGCCACACTTATCGGATAGTGAACTTGCCATCCCTGGAATGACGCTTCTTCGTCGGGATCGCATTTCTCGGGGAGGTGGTGTAGCTATTTACCATAGCAGGCAACTATTGTGCAAAGAGCTAACTGATGAAGATTTGATACTATCGGATACCTTGTGGTGCTCGTTAAAGACGGTAGCAGGAAACGACTGTGTTGTTGGTGTGATCTATCGACCACCTTCAGCGGAGGAACTGCACAATTACACCATAATGGAGAAGCTGCGCCTCGTGGCTTCCCGGTATAAAAGTAAGATACTAATTATGGGTGATTTCAATCTCCCAAACTTGCTACGGACTCAACAACATCCGATAAATTCCCTCGATTGTGCCTTCCAGGAGACGTTACATGATCTTGACTTTCACAATCATATATCATGCAACACGCGGTATAGAGGATCAGATATACCTTCCATTCTGGACCTCATCATAACAAGCGAAGAGAACGTTGTGGAAAACATCGCATATGAAAGTCCATTAGGATCGAGTGATCACGTCGTTCTCATTTTTGATTATGTTTGTTCGGCGGTGAGACCTAATGATGAGCTTAAAATGATCAGGAAAGTGAACACGAAAGCACTGTCGAATACCCTGAGTCATTGTACGGACTGGTATTCAGAAGGTCCAGACGTCCACCAGCAATGGTCTAGCTTCATGGGGAACTTGGTCAATAAAATACGTTTGCATTCCCACTTCGTTCCAAAGAATACTCAGATGGGATTCGATTTTAAGTTACGAAGCAGAACCCGAAAATGGATTCTGGAGCGAAATGCAGCCTGGGCTGAATACCGACGTCACCGAACAACAACAACATGGGAAAAATATCGGTTACTAAGAAATAAAGTCAACACGCTGGTCGCGAGCGACAAAAAGGATTACCAGCTAATGCTTTTAGAGAAAATGGAAAAAAATCCGAAGCTTCTCTATTGGATCATTAATAATAAGGCGTCTGTGAAACCGGGTATTTCACCTCTGCATACCCCTAATGGACTGACGGCCACTGCGTCAGCTGCAGCTGAAGAACTGGCGGAGTTCTATTCCACTGTTTACTGTCAGAAGGAATATATAAGCCGGATGTCGTTTATGTCTCCCTCACCGCCCACCTCCCTACATGAAGTAATTGTGACTCCAGAATGTGTACTCCGAACGTTACTTGAACTAAATCACAGAAAATCTCCCGGTGCCGATCAGATAACACCATTTATCCTCAAGCAGTGTGCTCATTCCCTATGCACACCTCTCGCTGAGTTATTCAATTCGTCCCTAAATAACGGTGTGGTTCCCAACGACTGGAAGAAGGGCGTTATCACTCCCATATACAAAGGAGGTAATCGTTCGGTCGTGTCAAACTACCGGCCGGTGACTCTGTTGCCGGTGATCTCCAAAGTGCTTGAGCGACTGGTGGCAAACAAAATCATTAAACACTTAGAGGAAAACGGATTGCTTTCGGCTGCCCAGCATGGTTTCAGAAAAAACAGATCCTGTCTGTCCAATCTCCTCATTACCTTAGACGACTGGACGCAAGCTGTGGACAATGGAAATCCCGTTCACGCATGCTATCTAGACATCTCCAAGGCATTTGATCGCGTGAACCATAACATATTGTTGCAAAAACTCGAGCATTATGGTATTACGGGAAAGCTGCTGGCTTGGCTTGAAATCTATTTGGCTGACCGAGACGCGCGTGTATGTGTTGACGGCGCTCTGTCCAAGCCAATTGCAGCTACAAGTGGAGTACCCCAAGGCTCCGTTCTTGGGCCTACTTTATTTTTATTATACGTAAACGATATACCTGAGCTCGTGAGCAGTAAAATCACTTTATTCGCAGACGATATCAAGATATGGTCAAGCATACGCACCATTGAAGACAGTCACCGATTACAAAAAGATCTCGATACACTTTATGATTGGTCACTGAAAAACAGACTACCGTTTAACCTCCAAAAATGTAAAATGCTCCGTGTAGGGAAGCCCTTTGCATATAACTATACGTTGGGTCCACAACCACTTTCTTGGACTAGTGAAGAAAAAGATCTTGGCGTGTGGGTCAGCAGCTGTTTAAAAAACTCCTTGCAATGCACAGCCGTCTACAAGAGGACCTCACAAGTCCTGTCGCTCCTAAAACGGATTTTTGGTCGTTTCACTCGACTGGCACTGCCCCGAGTAATCAATACCTACATCCGACCAACCATGGAATACGCTATACAAGCTTGGTCACCATGGCTTCAAAAAGACATAATTCTTCTACAGCGAATATATCATCGAGCCACGAAGCTGGTAATTGGACTGCATAATAAACCATACGAAGACACGATTGCCAGTCTCTACCTATTTGACTTCTACTATCGGCGCATCAGGGGAGACCTAATTCTAACATATAATATACTGAAGACACCTAATCATCCGCTGGAAGACCTTTTTGTCCGACGTCGAACACGAACGGGCAGGAGGCATGACTTTTAGCTCGCGGTACCTCATTCGGGGGTGAACTGTCGGCGGAACGTTTCTGCGGTCCGTGTATGTTTCACTTGGAACTCCCTACCTCCCAATGTTGTACATTCGCCGAGTTTAACCATTTTCAAGAACAATTTAGATGCACATCTTATGTCCAAACCGAATCTGGAACTATTTAACTCCATGTGATACTCAGTAAACATTACGCATATTTTTGCGTCCCTTTGTGTATATACGTTCACCCTATGGTCCTTGTAAAGTTAATTGCTTTTTAGACCATTAAACCTTGAATAAACCTTGAATAAACCTTGAATACACTATTTAGTCGCGGAAGTCTTATTAGCACTGCCAATAAGTCTCCTTTGAACGGGAAACCAGTTTGTGCTATGTGATTTGGTTTCTACTGGTTCCTCAAGTTTCACCTGTCCATACGAATAATAATTTTTTTCATTTGTGCTGCCCAATTTAAATTTCAGCATGAAAACCATGTATCAGGTTGTGTAAGTGCCTCAACAACTGGGATCATTGAGATTTCCTCAGCTAAACCACGTGACTGATCTAATGTATCGATTAATTATCTAAGCCAGTCAGCATTCAGAATTTTCATGTTGAGCATGTAAGTCACAAGACAGTAAATGCAACAAGCATTCCACAAATACATGCAACCGTGTTAGTCAATTCTGCCAGAAAGGTCAGATTCTTTCAAATAACCCCAGAACGCCCAGAACCTATTGAGGCCCTAAATCTCCACCAAAATCGCAATAGGGAAGACGGCAAGTACCCAAGCCAGTTACCAGCATAAGCCGATGAGCGTTCAGGCACGCCACAGGAGCACGAACAACATATGACCAGATATTTCATAGAAGCACGATCGATGTTGATGGGTGTTCACTAAACGCCTATTAAACAAGCTGCATCAATGTTAAAAAGTGACCTTTAAATAGTGCAAGGCCGTTGTGACTTTTGCACCCACACGCACTTGTTTGCTGCAACAAAGTTGTTGTGTTCCCCGTCAGTGAGTTCTTTTTCCTTCACTAGGCACTGGAGTGGGGTTATCAGTCAGATATAACAAATTCTAGCTCCTTCTATCGGCGGTTGGAGACCATTTGCAAATTATCGGAGAGACGATGCTTCTGTATTCGCCACAGATGGTGCGAGCCATATTACGGCCATGGAAGGACACTTCTTCAGGAATAATGAGTACTTTAAAACCCAGGTTGAAAACTCAAAAACGTTGACCTTGAATACCTGCTACCAATAATGTGTGGAAAAACGCGCTCCAGTTGTATATCTTGTAGACATGTCGCTTCAAATGTGAACTCTTATAATCTGATGAAATTTCATTATTTATGTATGTGCTCCCACTTGGCAGTAAGCAGACGCTTCACGTAAACTTATATTTATTCAGTATTACCAACTTCACATCGTGACCATCATTTATTTCTTTGAAAAGTCGAGTACTAGCACTTGTACTGAACAAGTGAGCGGGGGAGCATGTGATGTGATGGTCACATTACACAGTTTGCTGTGGACGAATGGAACTGGTCACAAGGTTTCCGTGACCAGACTGAAACATCTATCTACGCAAGTATGACTGATCTACCGTGACGACAGGATACAATGCACTACTCACTCACCATTCACTACTTCGCAAATGAAGATGCAATTGCTAACGAGCTTTGAAAACGTTACATATATGTCATGGCGGTTAGGGTGTTTAACTTACAGTCTTCTCTGGTAACTGCCTAGTCAAATTTTTTGACCAAATGCTTAGCCTATCTGACTGAAGCTTTGTCTGTTATTCCGCGCAACAAACTCTTCAGAACAAAGTGGAAGCATCGGCACAAGAGATCGACCTAAAGCTGATGCTCAGCAGTACACAATAGGCTTCTTGTTCAAAAAACCTTATCCACCTACACAAAGTAACTGTGTTCGCGGAAGAATCCTGGTCAACTCAGAAACTCTGGACACATGCCAAGGGAAGCACAACTGCAGTTGAGATGGACGGCCATCACCTGCTGAAATATTTAAAATAAATCATCCATTGTACTCACCAAAGCCCGAAAACTCAACCATATGAACTCATTCGTCTCTATTACGACTCAATATTTAGACACATGTAAGAATCTTTACTAGCCTATATCACGTAATCTGCGACATTCGACTCAAAATCGAGTTAAGGTATTGAGTATATGGCATATTCAGATATCATCCTAATAAGTTAGGCTCAAACAAGTGCAAATCAAGTTTCCCATCCATTTTATTTGTGGGACTTAGTGATGACTAATCCGAGGTTTCGGTGACCCATAATCGTCAACGACAGATAGATATACCTATGTATACGTATATTCAAAAATGAGGAATACAAGTATCCAACCTTTCACAAACTTACGCCAAATCCACACAGTCTTTGCACAGGAATACCGATTTCTCCACTTCCGTCGCACATCGGCTGCAAGTGCCGCGATGACACTGAACACATGGAAAGGCTTTGCGAAATATTGTGAAACCACGGTAACAGAATGGGCATAGTCCTTCATTATCCCAGTTGGCTTTTGCCTTTGGTTTTAATGTGAAACCGGACTTTACAAGTTCAGTTGGTGTCATACCAGCGAAAGAAAGAAATGGTGTCTGAGGACTGGTTGTACCGAGATTGGGAGTACCATTTGGAGTTCGAGGTAGCCGGTCAAGTGCAACTGGGGCACAGAGTGAAACCAAGCCACTACCCGGTACTGCTGGGTTCTTCAAACGCAACTCCTCCACGGCAGCCACCATTAGTTCAGGTTTCAGTTTATTTGGGAAGGTCCCTGTTAAACGGCTGAAATAAAAGTTTCTCAGAGTCAGCGATACTCCTAGTTCTGTTCCTTAATCTGAGAATGATTATACTTGGTCAGTAATTATCATTACGCTATACAGCTGAGATTATCCAAGCCTAAATGAACTAATCGTCAATAGGAAAAATCATCCCAACTATGGATATCAAGAGCTACTGAATAACTTGAGAGAGATCACGAAAATTTAGAGAAATACACAACTATGGGAACAGTGGACGAACCCAAGGATTTACGCCCATGATATTTGGCGTAATCAGAATGCGTCGAAATCGTCTGGTACAAGAAGCGTTCCTGAAGAATGTTTATGACAGTCGGAGCACAATTGTCGCTTATTAGGAACTAAACGCATCAAAATGTTTACCTAGAATTTGACCACAGGGCCATAGTTTCAACGTTTTCCGCGAACGTCATTACAAACTTGACCCACGCAGGGAGTAACAAATCGTTACTTTCCAAGATTTCTGCAGATATTTGACGGCATAGGACTGCAATTCTAGCAGTTGAAAAATGCCGAAGGGGCTTTGATTCGAAATCGCACACTCAATCATTCATTTAGGCTAGCGTTGACTAACAACGTTGTTCTGTTATCCTGGTCAATGTATGAAGCTCTTAGCGATCATCTTCGAGCATACAGGCAGCTGGTAACTTTTAACAAAAGCATATCTCTGATTCAGCCCTTCCTACCGAACGAATCTTAACCGAAATGATCACTCTGGGACACTGAGATGTTTAGGTGGGAGTGATGCAATCTCAAACTCATTTTTATCCCTATACCATTTTGCTCTACACTGTACTGCAGATTTGTTTTTTAAGTAATCTCTAACATCCGTCTTCTCATTTGCAGTCGACTGGCGCCAGATAAGCCGAAAGTGGATTTTGATGGTAAGATGGCGTTCCGTCGTGGTAGTTTGAAATCATCTGAGGAACGGATGTCTTCCCACAAGTCAAAACGGGTGTTAGATTTTGATTAACATAACAGGGCTTGCAGCTTTACGAATAAGCAATGGTGTTTAACTTAATCTATGATATTCGAGTAACCCACCGGCATCCACCAAACGAATGGGCCCGAATGGACCGAACGAATGAACGAGTGAAATCAACGCTCTCAGACTGCTAACAAAGCCATTATTGATTGATTCGGATGGAAGAGTGGAAATTGAACCGATTATTTCAAACGAATACCCTGTTAGTATTGTTCATGATGGCCGTAATTGACACTGTGTCACTTGGAGCTTTAGGGACGGTGTGGTAGTTTTCTAAGAACTAAAACTGCAGTAGTATAAAGAACGTTCGTCCAGCCACAGGCTTGCCGAAGAGACTCCACATGCTTTATTGAATTGGAATAAGGAACTCCACTATCGGAATATTGTGGAACCTTTCAGCGCTCCAAATGATGTTTATATCCCAGAATGAATTCCATGGTTAAAGAAACCAGAAAGTTATAATCCAGGCTTTTCCAAGCTATATTTCATCCTTACATCACCCTACGTTATGGTCGGCGTCATCTATTATTGAGAAAGTGCAGAATGGAATTATAGTGGGCATAAATGGTGAAAAATTACTGTATTTTTTTGCTTTGAACTATGCTCACTATAATGAGATTGAGATAAACATGGAGAAAATGACCTTACTGGCTACTAATGCAGTTTATTGACGTTTGCACAATATAAGAAGCAATCAGTTAAACTGAAATTTGCCGATGGGCCACACTCTATCACTAATCAATATTAGTGTTACCTCTGTATGGATAAGAACTAAGCAAAAATTCGTGGAAAATATAACCGGAAAATTTGCCCTGAATAATCACAAAAGTTCAAACGTAAATTATTTTTAGTAGGTGAGGACGAGGATGGCGTCCACTCGTAGTGTAAAATCTGTCTTTCGAAAATAAACGACTCGCTTTATAACGGCCTCACAATTAGTCTTTGTCTTGAGGAAACTTTTTTCCTTAATAACTGAGGAAAAAACACAAGGAATCAACCAAGCACTGAGCCCGTAGGCTACAGTAGGAATGTGACGTGAACAACCTCTTAGACGACCAAAGAGAGCAGGGGTTGGCTGGTTAGAATAGAACACAGGTTTTACTGGCATCGCAAGCGCTAAAGCTGACGAAGTCTTGAAGTGAGCGAATAGACCTGGTAGAACGCAATCGTGGTCAATTTCACGCTGAAGCTGAAAAGCTTCAGTTGGCTGGATGCGTGTTCGACAGAAACATGTCTAATTCTGTGTGCAGCACATTCAGTTGTAGAATACCATAAAGGAGAGATTCAATCGGGTCTCTCGTGAAAACCGAATTGATTTCCAGCTGAGTGAATTTCTGGAAATCCGTCCAATTTGGGTTCAAGTAGAACATAAAGTTGACGGAAATTCGCGGACTGCGCCTACCTGATGAGCCCCAAGAAGGGCTGTCGAAGAGTTTTCAGCAACCTTGTGAGTAGCTTCCTTTGCTAAAATCTCTACTTCTAGTTCAGTCCACTTCATCCTACATCGGATACACAAACAGCCACTCAGCTTCCCTATTTGTCATTGGTTCTCCTTAATTCAGGTAAATTTTTGCACATGCGTATGTTTGCTCCAATGAACTGCTTTCCAAGTTTAACGAAACCGAATGAAATAAAAAAGCGTAGACTTTATAAATCCGGTAGAAATAGGCCTCCTAGGTGAATTAGGTGAATACTTAACTGACTACTGAAGTGGAGAAAATAAACCAAAAAGGGTATTATTACCGCTCCCCTAGATTATTAGGCAACGCTTCTTAGGTGAAACATGCCATTTGTAATTAGGTGAACTAAATGTTCACTGGCTCCGTCAAGCATGAATGGTTATTGCTCAATTGCAACTACTGTAATTGGCCCACAGTCCTACCTGGGGCACAATTTCTCACCATCTGCTAATATTTTTTTCTCAGAGGTTATCATTACTATTGATTTACCTTACCAATCTGTGTAGCACAGGTTGTAGGGATGGCCATCGTAATGCTTACTAAGCTGAGAAATCTGTTTTTTAGCATTTCGTCACCAACCGAAATGACAACATCAGTAAGTAGTGAGTTGGGGGGTCATCATGTGATGTATTGCTTTGGTGTGTAGGCCTTGAGCAATGCTGTGCTTGTGCATCGGGGGAGAGGTAGTGTCTGATCACGATCGGTCATTTGAGTGGTTGGTTAGCTCCTTGATATATTGACATATAAAATCCATTCGGATTCGGCTTCGGAAACCCATTTCGTCTACCTGTCTATCTCATGGTTACAAACCTTTTCACCCGATCCGTCCGTTTCCTTTGAGCTGTCCTACTCGAACTGGAACAGCCATCTAGAAATCGACCTTATCCACTATAAACGAAGAATCGCCAACCAATTCAGACAACCCAAAGGGAACAGACGGATCAAGTGACGAAAATAGTATCCGTTACTTTGACAGGTCAAAGGTCGAGGAGAATGTGCTGCAGAGGTCAGACTCAAACGTCAGCTCAAAGCCAAGCTAGCCAACCGCCCAACAAACAGGACCCAGTGACCTTAATAAGAGGTGACGAAGCATTTCCAGCCGAAATTCCCAGTTCAGCAAGAAGGGCAAGCTTGGTTATTGTTTGTATGCTATTGTTATGTATGATCAAACACGTATTTATGCCTTAAACCAAGGTGTATTTTTGTGCACATTAATTGTTAATCCTTTTGGTATCTCCCGTAGCTGCTAATTGGTCATCAGTAATATGCTTTTGATCCGTTTCAGCAGCATTTGTTTTCAAAGACATTTATCTTTGTCAATTCCCTGACAGTCCAAACACTTAGATTTTTAGTCGTATATGACTATGGGTACCATGCTCTGTCGGCCCCGAGTAATTTGTGTAGAGGTAAAATTAGATGAAACTGTATAGGGTGGTCCCATAACGGGGACACTTCATTGCATGACTATCGATGAGTTAGACTCATTGTTTAGTGTATTCATCGTGAACACCATTTTCTGGCTAGTTAGCGCACTGTTCGAGAGACGATGGTAGGTTATGCCTTCATTAAAGGATGACCTTATTTTCGTCCCCTCATTCCCGGAAATTCGCACAGCTCACTGGAAATAGTCCACTTCTGAAACTGATTAAAGGTCAGTATGCCAGTAGCGACACCCACACGAAATTAGTCTATATTTTCACTCATATGCACACTACTGCTAGGAGTGAGCTGCTTATGGACGTTGAACGATCTGTGGATCACCAAGTTACTAGAATTGTTCCACACAGGAAAAAAATCGGGTAAGCATGGTAGCTCATCCATTCTGCTGCACAAAACATGTGAGAAAAAGGGCTGTCATGTACACTGGCGTCAAGGCATTGATAGAATTTTCAGCGATAAACCTGATACAAAAGGAATTATGTAACACGTGCGTTTTTTAGGTGATTTCCTCCAAATGGCGCCACAGTCCCCAATTCAGTAAACCTGGCTGAATAATCCATTCCTATCCACAAATCAATAGCATTTGTTGCCGACAGACGCTAGCTGAATGCAGTCTAAGTGGCAAATTAGTGTGATTTTAACCCCAAAAAGAGTTCCAAGTGATAGTAACCAAGACCAGACGTTCTGGATGTGACAGCACTTGGTTATCAAACTTGAGTGGTAGGGGTCTTGATGGTGGTGGCTGTGGTGGATCAAGCACACTAAGGCTCTAAGCAGCAACATGCATGTTCAATAAGATGATATTCATCGAGTGTGAATCGTCCCGAAAATGCGTAGATCCTAATGTTCTCAATTGAGCACGGCATTTCAGCGAGGAAATTAACTCTTGGTTACTATGTTCTAAGCAAGGGCACAAAAAGACTGGGCCCTAGTAAACTGTGAAGACAGCAGTAGTCTTTCTGGCTTCTCATGTGACGAAACAGATCATCGGGAACTTGTACCTATAGGTGGATCTCCAGATAACCTGACTGCCAACTTTTGGACAAAGTGTAGAAGCACTAAATTAAAGTCTTTACTTTTTTTACTGCAT